GTGGACCTGCTGTGCCTCTGTGCCTCCACACATGGGGTTTTGGACATCCCGCGTCAGGCAGCCCTGAGCTGTCATGGCCATGGGGCTGGTGGTGCTTGTTCATCCAAGCCTCTCCAGCCTGTACTGCAGGGAGCCATGCTGACCCCACTGCTTGCAGGGAAAGCCCCATGCATCTGTGCAGGGAGAGGATGGCTCATCAGTTCTCTCTCTGCTCCTTGCCTCTGCAGCGGATTCCTGCCGGCCAATCCTGATGTCCTCGCTGAATGCAGATGGCTCACCAGGTTACATCAACGCCATCTTTGCCAATGTAAGGCTCTAGCCCCAGCAGGAGCAGAAGAGACCCCCTGGGTGCCACTGCTCAAGGCAGGAGTACACCATGCCACCCTGGTTTGAGGTGTCCCAGCCCTGGGGCTTCTTCACAGTGACTATTTCCCAGCGGCTGGGACCCTGCTGCCAGGAGATGGCCCCCGTGATCAGCCTAAGCCCTGCCTGCACAGACAGCTCAGCGGGCTGCCGCACAGCCGCTGGCTTTTGCCTGCTGGGAGCAGAGCCCGGGTGTGATGAGCTGAGGGGGCAGCGGGGTGCAAGCCTGCTCTGAGCAGGGCTGGGGTGCCCTGCATCTCCTTGGGCTCTGCCCCTGGGCCTGCAGAGCCCTGGCTGGAGGGAGGCAGAGAGCTGTTCCTGCTGTCAGAAGAGCTCTCAGGGGGTGGATTGTGTGACCTCTTCCCCCAACACCCCTGTGTGTTTTGCAGACATACACCGAGGAGGACAGACTCATCATCACCCAGCTGCCTTTCCCCACCACTCTGGTGGATTTCTGGGCTCTGGTCTGGGATTACACCTGCACATCGGTGGTTGTGCTGAACCAGCTCCAGGAGCTGGACAAGGTCAGCAGCCCACGCGCAGCCCTCCTGTCTCCCAGCTCCCTGTGAGGCCAGGCAGTGTGCTTTCTGCCTTTGCCCCCACGCAGCTCTTCTCACAAGAGCCTGCTTGCTGCAGGAGCCCACTGCAAGCTTGTGGGCTCCACCCGGGAAAGCCGTGGGGACAGTCCCAGCACCATGGCACTACAGTGGTGGGGTGTCCCCAGTCTCACAGCAAGGGAGCATCCCTTGGGTTTTGCTTACCACCGCCCAGGTGTCCCCTCTGCAGGAGTGTTATTTTTCTAGCTGCGGCACCGTGGGTTTGTCCCCAGCAAATGGCAGGCAGAGCACCCACGTGCACGCTGTGGCTTATGGGCGAGGGACTGGTTTGAGCACACCCGTGTGAGGTGCTGAGCTCTGCCACGCTTGCAAGTCAGGGCTGTGTGTGATCACACGCGTGTCTCCCCCCCAGACATATGTGGAGTTCTGGCCCACCCAGGGCGAAGCTGCCTACGGCCGTTTCCATGTCCACTGGATCTCAGAGGAGCCCGGAGCTGGCTTCACAGCCTGGACACTTGCCCTCACCAACAGGCAGCAGGTGGGCTCTTTGCACAGAGACAGTGAAACCCTTTGAGATCAGCCTTTGCAAGATCTGGGAGGACCAGCTGTGCTACAGCGTCAGCAGGCTTTGATTTGGGGTCAAAGTCACAGCTAGGGGTGGCAGAGGCCACAACAGTCAGAGGGATCTGATGGGGTCCTGGAAGGGCACTGGCCAGAGCAGGGCCTTTCGCCTTGGGAGAGAGGATAGTCCCAAGAGGGTGAGGCTGCAGGCAGAGGTACAAGGCAGAGGTACATTTGTGTGCCTTTCTAACTTGGAGGACAGCAGCCGTGGATAGACTCTGTGCATCTTGGTGGTGGTTCGTGGATGGGGACAGCTATTACACGTAGCTGGGTGCTGGACTGGCATCAGTCTGAGCTGCACCTGGTGGTCAGCTCTTATCTTGTGCTCTGTCTGCTGGTCTCAGAGCACTCAATGGAGAAGGGCAGAGTCTGGGACTGGGCCATCCCACTGTGGAGCAGTTCCCTTGATCCAGTGTGCGTGGCTGAGCCAGGACTGACACATGCTGTCCCTCCATGAAGCCAATGGGTTTCTTCACTGCCCAACCCACTGTCTTTCTTCCCCACTAGCCCAAGAAGTCTGCACTGGAAGTCCGGTTCTGGCAACTGAAGGACTGGCCCATGCAGCAGCGTCTTCCCCTGTACCCTGCCACCATCATCAGCCTGCTAGGGAAGGTGGAGACGCACCATCGGCAGAGCCAAGACGGACATATCCTCGTCACCTGCTGGTGAGTGATGTCTCTGGGAGGAGCAGCCATGGCACAGAGCTGGCTCAGCCCAGGCTGCATCAGTGAACTTGGGTCACAGTAACGTCCTCAGCTCAGGTGAAGGGTGGACATATGGACATGAATTCAGCTGTGTTCAGGGAGGAAGGCTTCCCTGTGGAGGCTGGCGGGGTGCAGGATCTGTGGGCACGGCCATCCTGAGAGCCTGCATGTGGGACACCTCTGAGGCTCAGCGCTGCCAGGTGATCCCAGGGCAAGTGACTCTGCCCTTGCTCTCCTCCACAGGGATGGTGCCAGCCGGAGTGGAATCTTCTGTGCTGCTAGTTTCCTGTGTGAGCAGATCCAAAGCGAGGGGCTGGTGGATGTATCCCAGGCTGTGAGGATGCTGAAGAGGCGGCGGAGACAGCTGATTAAAGATGTGGTAGGTGTTGACTTCAAACCCAGCCAGGATGGCAACACCGGAGCAAGAGCCATAGCCTGGACTGTCCCAGCAGCCACCCTAGCACCTATGTGCTCAGATCATCCTGGGGGCAGCAGGGGCAGATGAGACCTGTGAAAACCCTGTTTTCTGCTGCTGGGCCATACATACTCACTCCAGGGCAGGTTCTGCAGAACCAGGTGGGCACCAAAGCATCCTGGGGGCTGAGTTGCCCCTTTCTGGTCCACCTGGCTTGCTCAGCAGGGGGGCTGCACTGATGGGTGCTCAGGTGCCTGTCCTCACCACTCGGTCTGGGTGCTAGAGGCCATCATAGGATGAGCACCCCGGATGGGAGTGAGCAGCAGAAGCTTCATGCCATGGATGCTGGCTCTCCTCCTGAGCCCAGCTGGCTCCAGCATTGGGATAGCCTAGCTCTCAGCTGCTGGAGCGCATGCCTGTGATTCCTCAGCAGAGGAAGGTGGGCTCCAACTGGGAGGAGGAGAGTGGGCTGTACCTGCGCCTGGCTTTCTCAGGAAGCTGCTGGCAACCAAGGCTGGCCTTCCACTGCAGGTGTTGGTGTACCAGGTTCTCATGTGCATCCTTCTGTCCACAGGAGCAGTATGGGCTCTGCTATGAACTAGCCCTCAGTTACTTGAATTCATTTGAAACCTATGGCAATTTCAAGTAGAGGCATGGCCACAGCCCATCTCTGGCCAGGACTTTGACTCTCTTGACAGCCTTCCATCAGTAACAGTGGAAACCAGAGGAGACAAGAGGGGTGTGCACAGCCCCAAGATGCTTTACTCCCCTGAAAAATCACCCCAAAGGTCCTCTGCGGCTGGAGAGCCCTGGCTGGACTGTCTCCAAATTGTGGTCAGGCTTTGAAGCGGGAACCTGACCCTTCGCCCAGAGTTTGTGCAGGAACTTACCTGGAATCACAGCCTGAGTATGCAAACCAGAGCAGAGGGACCAGGACTTGACCTGTCTGTGGAGGGATGAAGAGAACCAGCTGTCCCATCCAGGCTCCCTTGTCCCTTCAGTCAGTCCCGGGGAAAGTGGGGTAGCTCCACCAACACCCGAACTGTATTTTGCCAGGGGAGCATCAAACCGCTGTAACATCCAGGGGGCTCAGGAGCACAGGCTATCTGTCCTGCTTTGAGAGAAGCATGAAGCCCAAGGCCAACAAGAGCCAAGGGAGGGACAATCCACAGTCCTGTAGGGCTAGCCTGGTCCCTCCTACCCCACACAATCCCTTCCTGGAGCTCCATCTTCCTGATGCTGATCGAGGTGACACAGCCCTGCCAGCCCCAGAGAGGCTCCCTCACCAGCCTGTCTGGCTCCACCATGACAATCCCAGCTTGTAGTGGCTCAACTTAGATACCCTGGATGTGGTTCCAGCAGGGGCTGCTGCACCACGGAGACTGGTTCTGCCTTTGCTGCTCAAGGGCAACAGGCCTCAGAGCCAGGACTGATCCCATGGCTCTGTTCTGTGTCTCACCAATAAAGACTGTGCTGGCCATGGTGGTGCTGACCTCTGATCTTCACTTCTTTTCCAGGTTTGACCTGGCACAGGGGCTGCAAAGGAGCTGAGAGCACACAGGTCCCTCAGCTCTGGCCACAGCATGGGCACAGAACACACTCCTGCCCAAGATGTGCATTGAGGGACATCACCCTTCACTGATTCCCACCACGCACCCCATCCAAACTCACGTGAGAGCTGCCCAGCACAGCCCTGGGGGTCGGAAAGGCTGTCGGGCACCACTCGGGGACACGGGGTCACAGCAGCCCTGCTCATGGCCTCCCCCCAACAAGGTGCAGTTAGCTCCTTGCAGGGGGATGTGACCCCACAAGAGCAATGAGGGGACTAGGCAGGAGCTGTAGTGGGGCAGGCAGCCCTTTCCAAACCACAAGCCTTTATTGGTTGTCCAGACAGAGCAGGCAGAGTCACAAAGGCAGCCCAGTCAGGCCAAGCTCCAGCAGAGCCCTGGGTTTGGCTGAGTATCAGCAGACGGGGGGGTGGGGAGAGGGGTTGGGAACCCAGAACATGGCAGGAGCATGGACCATCCCTCAGCCTGAGCCCGTGTGAGTCAGGGACTGGGAAATCTGGCAAACAGTTCCTGCTTCCAGGAAAGCAAAAATGAAAGCAAATCCAAAAAAAGGAACTACAGAAGGTTGCATTCAAAGGCCTTAAAACAGCAGTAAGCAAAAGCTTGGAGGTGAAGGGGGAGAGGAAAGAAAAAGCTCACAACCCTCATTGGCCTCCTGTTTTCCTCTTGCTCTGCTGAATTGGATGGGACCCCCAGTGCTGGTCACAGTCACAGGAGAGCCAGGGGGCCCAGCAGCCTTCAGCACTGAGCTGGGGTCATCCTCCCCATCTTCTCCGCTCCTTCACTGCTCTGAATGTCTCCTGTGGTCCTGGGCAGGGGCTGGAGTGACTTATCTCCAGCCTGGCCACCTTTACCTGTGGAGACCAACAGCACCCAGGGCAGAGGCTGCTGCGTGCCCTCGGCTGCGTGGGGAGCTCATGCCACCACAGCTGCCTGCACACATGAGTGTCTGAGACAGGCTGGAGCACAGGGCAGTGCCTGCCACAGTCTGACCCCTTTGTCCCAGCTGTGCCCAACCACAGGTCCCTGGAGGTGCCCACCGGTGCCCAGGCAAGTGCAGCAGTCCCTCAGCCTGACCCTTCTGAGACCCCTCCCCTGGCGGGGGTGACATGGCCATGGGTCCCTCAAAGCCATGAGCCATGAGCCACCCTTTGGGATGCCCTTCTTTGCTCGCCCCTGCCCCTGCTCCAGGCTGAGAGCACTGCCTGGAGCCACGCTCTGCTGCCACGTGGGGCTTAGCGGGCAGAGCCAACCGTCCCCGGCACCACAGGGCTGGGGCAAATGGGGAGGCATGTCAGTGAAAAGGACGAGCAGAGGTTTCTCCTGAGGGTCAGGCTCTCCTGGGAGATCTCTGCTCTCCTTCCAGCTGCCACCCAGCCCTACAGCCCTTTCTGTGATGGTGGTCCAGAAAATTGCATTTTCCTACCTTTTTAATTATCATCCTTAGCTTTGCTGGGCAAAGATTTCCTTTTCCTGGAAAGGCAAAGGGGAGTCCTGAGTAAGAGACTGACGTTGCCCATGGCCCTGCTGAACCTGTCCCCTTCCTACTCACCTGGAAAGCACGAACCACAGGATCCCTGCAGACAGGAGGAGGAGTGCCAAAAGCACAACCACGCCAATCACAGTCCCGCCCCACGGGACCGGAGGCTGCCCTGCAACTAACACACAGCCAGGAGTGGGTGCCACAGCCTGGACCACATGCTGGCAATGGCCCAAACAATGGCAAAGAGTGTGTGCAAGTGTGTAGATGTGTGTCTTGGCTTGGGTTTCTTCTGGGATGGAGGATCACCCCATGTATGGGAAACGAAAGGTTTCCTCTGCCCCCCATGAGACCCAGCAGCTCCTACGCTCAGCCAGCTCCTCACCACGGGAAGCAGCCAGGCTGGGAAAAGGGAGGATGTGGGAGAGACCCTCAGAAACAGGGAGCGAGGAGCCCACTTACCAACAGAGAAGCTGTAGCACACGCAGGTGAACTTCTCTGCCTGTTGGAGGAGACGGGAGGGAGAGATCAGGCCACTCCTGCCCCACTGCCCGCCCTGGGGGTAAAGGCCTCCCACCCACAGCCACCGAATGCCCCAGCTGTGGCTGAGGACCTCGGGGACACTGTCCTGTCAAGACGCCCGGGCTCTCGGCGCAGGGACCGGGAGCAAAGCCCGTGCAGCACTGCCGCTCACTGTTGGGGGCCGGGCCAAACCC